GCCTGGCTTTATGTATTTGTATATGTGTTTGCTGAATTGTTTGAAAGTAAGCTGCATACTTTATGACATATCTTTCTTAAAAATAATGACATTACCCACATAACCAAATACCACTATTATACAAAGAAAATCAGCACTGGTTTCCTAATATTATCTAATGTGCAGTCATATTCAATTTCCTTATTTGTCCCTAGAGTGCCTTTGCTCTGTCACCCAGGCTGGAGTGCAGTGGCGCGACCTCAGCTCACTGAAACCTCCGCCTTCCAGGTTCAGGTGATTCTCCTGCCTCAGCCTCCCAAGTAGATGGGACTACAGGCACGCACCACCATGCCAGGCTAATTTTTGTATTTTTAGGAGAGACAGGGTTTCACTATGTTGGTCATGCTGGTCTCAAACTCCTGACCTCAAGTGATTCACCCGCCTTGGCCTCCCAAAGTGCTGGGATTACAGGTGTGAGCCGCCGCACCTGGCCTAGAGTGCCTTTTGTAGCTTGTTATCATGAATCAGTATCCAGTCAAGAAGCATACCGTTGGTATATCCCTTGAATCTTTGTATCTAGAGCAGCCCCCATGTCTTGTTTTTTTCATCATGAAATTGACTTTTTGAAGAAACTGGGTTCATTGATTTATAGATTGTTCTACATCCTGGATTTTTCCCTATCCTGTATATTCACTTGTTCTCAGTCCCAATTCCAAATTCCTGGGGAAAAGATAGGGTGGCCCATCTTGGATTAGGTGTTATATTAGTTTTCTACGGCTGCCATAACAAATTACCACAATTTCATGGCATAAAACAGAGCAGATTTATTATATTACAGTACTGTAGGCGAGAAGTCTGACACAGATGTTCTTGTTCTAAAATCAAGGTGTGAGCATTCCTTTCTCAAGGCTCACAGCCTTTTCTGCTTCTAAAATCTACCCACATTCCTTGGCTTGTGGGCCCTTCATCTTGACAGCCAACAGTGTTGCATTCCTCTTACCATTATTCCTCAGATCTATCTGATTCTAAAATTCAGGCTTTGTACGTCGTACCTATACTGCCTGCAATTAGTTGTGCCACTTATTTTGTGGATGGAAGTGAAGGATTTGACATTTAATTGGTTTGCTGGTACATAACGACTGGCTTCTGGGGAGAGGAGATGCCGTGACTAGTAGCTGCCAATTTCTGTGGCATAAGTACTCCTACTGTGGCCAGTTTCAAGCTACCAACTTAATTTCAGAGGGCTTGCAAACTTCCTGAAAATGTAACCATCACTCCAGTACACTACTGCATTTAATCCTGGTGAATTTTACCTTGTTCAGTGCCATCCAGCCTGCTGTTGACTGTTGAGAACAGATTGTTTCTATTGATCTTGTTTGCTTTGTTTCCATAGGGACTGTACCAGTTTGCCACGGATATCATCGTAATGATCCGAGTGTGTAAAATGTTCCGCCAAGGCCTCAGGGGATTCCGGGAATATCAAATCATTGAGAGTGCTCACTGGAAGCACCCTATCTTCTCCTTCTGGGATGTAAGCAGCTGGGCTCAGCAGGATTATGACGGCTTAAAGAGGGCAATAAATTGCAACCCACTTCCTGGCCCAAGCTCAGAACTGAGAAAGAAGACAAAAGGAAAAGCAGATGAGAGACCCAATGGTCACTTTTATTAATGACCAGACTTCTGTTGGAGAGGGTGACTTATATCATCAACCAAGAGGTTTACCTAATACTGAACCCCAGATTTAGATAGCCTTACATGCCTAGCCACAGGCAATGCTGGACCAAGGCAGTCTCCACTGCAACAGCAGGCCTGCTGCCGAAACTCATGGCAGGGAAAGGTGGAGCAAAATATGGGCTCAGAGGGAAGGAGCAATCATGCCTAGTTTTTCTCTTTCCAGATTCATCAAAGAGTTTAAGTCACTCCTCAGTGTAGAAGGAGAGAGGCCAGTAGAGTTCTACTAATACACCTCCCTCCATGTGGAAAGAAACCTTGGGAGTGGAGAAGTGGTCTCCATTTCAACAGTGATCAAAAGAGCCAGAAGCAATCCAAGAGTCACGATAACCAGGGTTTTCTGAACGCCCACATGCTGACTTTGTTCGTGTCTCTACTTTCTTTCCTACACCCCTACTTCGGCGCAGGGGGCATTTTCAGGGCCTTGTTCACTGTGGTGACCATGTTTCTTTTCTTTTTTTGAGACAGAGTCTTGCTCCGTCACCCAGGCTGGAGTGCAGTGGTGCATCTTGGCTCACTGCAAGATCCATCTCCCGGGTTCACGCCATGCTCCTGCCTCAGCCTCCCTAGTAGCTGGGACTACAGGCGCCCGCCACCGCACCCGGCTAATTTTTTGTATTTTTAGTAGAGACAGGGTTTCCACCTTGTTTGCCAGGATGGTCTCGATCTCCTGACCTCATGATCCGCCCGCCTCGACCTCCCAAAGTGCTGGGATTACAGGCGTGAGCCACCGCGCCCGGCCTGGTGATCATGTTTCTAGATTTTCTAAAAGGTCCCAATTTAAAGTATTTTATCCCAGTGGTAGATCATGTGCCCTTCTTTAGCTCAGAAAAGTTAACTTCTGAGCTAACTTCTTCTGCTAACTTGTTCTGGTTCCCCAGAGGTGTCTTCGTTGCTACTGGGTGTGTTGCTCAGGGCTTCAGAGTTTCCCCAGCAATCACCTGGACAGATCCTGCCCATTTTTCTGTTGTTTCAGGAATGACTAGAGCCAGTCCCCACCCCT